GTTAGAAGACCCTTCCAGCAAGTGCTGGCACGACAGTTGGCGCTAAGAGCTCTGGGAAGACCACTGGACTGGGCGTCAGGAGACGTGGCTTTGAACACCTGCCCCGTCGGCACTTGTTCCATGGCCCTTACACTGTGCTGTCGGCTTGCAGCCTCCCGGGGTTGTCGAGAGCATTGGCTACAATCCCATGAAACCTCAGAAAGGGGTGCACAGAGGCTGGTCATGGCTCAGCTTCCTGGAGTGCAAAGTGGCAGCCGCATCGGGACTGTGCTGTGGGCACCGGGAATGAATTCAGGGATGTAGGACTCAACGTGATAAAAGCTATGACACACGGTGCAGCCCACGCCAAGAATCAGTGGATGTTGGTGATGAAGACGAGGATCCTGCAGCTTGGCCCCGGGCTACAGATGATCTGAGTGCTGATGAAGCTCCGGGAAGGCCGTGGGATGGCCTGGCTTGGAACACAGCCGTGCTCGGTGGGAAGAGGGAGAGTTGTGAGCTCACGGGGCCCCTGGGATGTTGCTGTCCCAAGGAACCCGTGGCTGCCTCTTTGCCTTAGAGTCACCTGCATGTGGGCCCCAGCTTTGCTTTCTAACTAGGACGTGGAGCCCTGATCTTGGCTGTGGACACGGAGGAGTCTGCACAGGTGGGTGCAAGTGACCAGCTCTCCTGTAGGAGGCGCTGCCTCGCACAGCCTCCAGATGTGCCTGGATGGGCTCTGTAGAGCAGCCGCGGGATACAAGCTAGTGCCCATATGGGATGCTACACTGGGGACTGGGAGCACCTAGAAGGTGCCCCTAACCCATCATGGGTGAGGGTACAGAGGGGTCTGTCCCAGGGAAGCGATGCCTGGCCAGGTGACAGACAGGAGGAAACGCAGTCCAGCACTGAATGAGAGCAGGGTGCGTGGTCAGCGACCGCAATGGTAGGAGCTGATGGCCAGTGCAGCCGGGCAGGGGTCCTGCCTGGCCCCGATGCATTTCCACCTTAGCTGGGAGCAGCTATGGCTGAGGTTTCCAACTGGCTGTAGGTAGAAGCTGCGAGAGCAGCCATGGAGCTGGGGCCAGTGCCTCTGTCAGCAACGTCTACTCCCTGCAGAAACTCAGTGTAGTGTCCCGCGGTCTTCCTAATGGGTCACGTGACACCTCCCAGGGCCGTCTCTTTTCCACAGCCGGACGGATAGTTGGATGTTGCTGCTCTGTGTGCTCCCGACACCATGCGCAGTGGCTTTCCATTGTGTACGTTTTTCCATTTCCTGCGGTTCTACAGGAAATTAGCCAGGAAACTCCCCCCGGGTGCCAGGTGGCTTGCAATAGCTCATTGGGAATAGCTGTGTGGGGAGAAACAGCCCCTTCAGCAGTGGGTGGGAAGTGTGATTGAAATATGACTTATTTGACATTATGGAACTTGGAATCAGCAGTGCGAGTCAGATGGAGCGGTAGTAACGGTAACCACGTTGCCGATCGAGATCAGAATGGAAGCTGGGATTGAGCGCGCGCGTGTTTCTCTTGTTTGCGTTTTAGTTTTTGAAGACTTATTCACTTATTTTGATACCATGTATTGCACAGGTAGGATTCCAAGATAACCATACTTCCCTCCTCCCCCTCTCCCTCCCTCAGTCCTCCTTCTTCCTCTTTTTGTTTTCCTGTAATTTTTGCAAAAACGTAATTCCAGTCCGCTCTGTGATCACAGGTTAGATACACCAATAACCACAATACTCAATAAGAAAAAAGTAGGTCATAGTTAATATAGAATATAAAAAATATGTAGGAATGAAACAGGGATCTTGTGATCTGATTACATTTAGAAGTTGTTTATATTCTTGTGGAACTGTAGTATTTATTTATTTTGAAAGTAGATTTACAAGCGAGAGAGAGAGAGAGAGAATGCGAGAGAGATCTTCCCTCTGCTGGTTTACTGCCCAGGTGGCTGCAATGGCCAGGGCTGGGCCAGGCTGAAGCCAGGAGCCTCATCTAGGTCTCCCACGTGGGTGCAGGGGCCCAAGCACTTGATTCATCCTCCGCTGCTTTTCCCAGGCCATTAGCAGAGAACTGGAGTAGCTGGGACTCGAACCGGTGTCCATAAGGGATGCTGGTGTTGGAGGCAGTGGCTTTACCCGCTATGTCACAGCACGGGCCACTCTTTTATTTATTTATTTATTTATTTATTTATTTGCAGATTTTTAAGCAGTCCTGAGCCTTTGTCAGGATAGGGCTTCACCAAACAGTTCCTGCCCTGGTATTGCCATAAATGCTGCTTTGAGAATGAGAAGAACTTGTTGGAGGCATTCTGGGGTTTTGGGAGTTGCAATAAGTGAGCACGCCCCCAGTTCCTAACGAGGAGGGTAGGAAGTGGGGGAGCCTACAGTGTGCTGTCATGCGGGGTGATGCTGTGTGCGGACCCAGGCGGGAAGAACAGGAAACAGACTCTGCAGAGCCCAGTGCTTGGGGTCTTCCCTGGGCACACTCTTGGGCTGGGACGAGGGAGAACTGAGTTGGGCAGAGGGGGCAGCTGGGCGTGGGTGCAGGTGCACCAGCCTCAGCCCATGCCACAAGGCGTTCTGGAGCTGCCGTGCTCTGTCTGTGCGGCCCCAGGGGGCAGCTGGGCGTGGGTGCAGGTGCACCAGCCTCAGCCCGCGCCACAAGGCGTTCTGGAGCTGCCGTGCTCTGTCTGTGCGGCCCCAGGGGGCAGCTGGGTGTGGGTGCAGGTGCACCAGCCTCAGCCCGCGCCACAAGGCGTTCTGGAGCTGCTGTGCTCTGTCTGTGCGGCCCCAGGGGGCAGCTGTGGCTTTTCCACCTTGGCATTTACTAGCTAGCGGCTGAGGCCACCCTGGGATGGAGGGTGACCTTGGGGGATGCGGCTTCTGATGCCTCCCTGTCAGCTGCACCCTCAGCAGCTGGGGCAGGGAGGTCCCTGTCCACCTCACATGGTGCAGGTGCATGTTTTCAGGTGGGTCCAGGCTGCTCGGTTTGGAAGCCAATTGGCCTCCTCTCTCTGGTTGGCGGGAAATAGAAATTCCTCCTGCTTTGCTGCTCTCAGTGGGAGTTGTGTGGCTGGAGCTCAGTATTAGAGGGAAGCAACACAGATGTTCACTACTCTGCCCCTAACATCTTCACATGTCATAGCTTCCCTGGGTTCTGCGTAATAAGCTTGCCGGGGCTGGCACTGCAGGTTAAGTCTCTGCCTGGGGCGCCAGCATCCCTTATGGGCACTGGGTCAAGCCCAGGCTGCTCCTCTTCCAATCCAGCTCCCTGCTAGTGTGCCTGGGGAGTGGAAGATGGCTCAAGTCCTTGGGCCCCTGCACCCACATGGGAAGAAGCTCCTGGCTCCGGCCTGGCCCAGCTCCGGCTGTTGCAGCCATTTGGTAAGTGAACCAGCGGATGGAAGACCTCTGTCTCTGTGTCTCCCTCTCTCTGTCTGTAACTCTGCCTCTCAGATAACTAAAGCTTCAAAACAAAGAAACAGGCTTGCCTGCAAAATCCAGGAGTGTGGCACAGGGGACAAAGCCTTGCCCCTCCCCTTCTCAGCACCCCCTGACTTGGGGGAGGGTCATTGCTGGGCATCTCTGTGTCACCGGCTTCTCCGACTGCAGGCTCAAGGGTCTGGTTTTCCCAAAGCTGAAGTGACTGCACAAAGACAGTCATTCCAGGAGCCAGGTTTTACTCACAGGCTGCACGTGGGCACATCCTGCCGGGCCCTGAGGTCTTGTCTGACTTCCTTGTGAATGGGAACGGATTAGGCTGGTTGTCACCAAGGTGGTGGCATTCACCGGAAGTCACCCTGGCTTCAGTACGCGGGCAGGATTGGGCAGAGGTGCAGCTGGGGCAGAATGATAGGCACAGTGGGTGCCCGCCTCAGACAAGCCTCGCCTGCCCATCTGAATCTGGGCCTGTGCATGCATTATCCACAGCCAGGAACCGCCCAGGCAGGCCATGAGCTGTGTCAGCTTCCCGAAGCTGCCCGGCGGCGGGTCCCCTTAGCTGGGACGGTGAGAGGGACTGGCCGAAAGGAGTCTGAAAATGGGACTCCACGAGGCTCTGGAGTGACGGGAGGTGTGCCCCCTTCCAAGCATCAGGGCTGTCGCCAGACAGCCGAGCTGTCACTCCTGGCGAGGTGACAAGACCCCGAGACTCGCCTGCGAGGCGCTTGCTCATTACCTGGCCTCCCGTGGTCATGGCCATCTGCCCGGTTTGTCCCTCAGAAGATAGCACTTGCAGGGTATCCGGGCGCATGGGACGGCTCTGCTGCAAACTTCGGGGGGGGGGGCAGTGAGAGGGGGAGCAGCGTTCCTGGAAGCTACCTGGGAAGGTTCTGCTGGCCGACTTTCTGGGACGCCAGCCTTGTCCTACTTTGATGCTGTTGGTTTCCGGAACGGTCTTGGTTGTAGGTCCCAGGGCTGATGAGGAATAGACTGGCCCTGTCCTGCACGCCCGACCCCACGATGCTACCGCGCCCCGAGCCTTGAGCTAAGGAGGCAACTCTAGGGGTCCTTGACAAGTCTCTGGCTGCCTTAGGCTGTGCCACGAAACCAGGTCAGAGGTTGAGCTAGGTACAAAATGCACATTTGTGGCACTTTTTTTTCTAGCCATGCCAAGCTAGTCACTTCCAAGTTGAGTTAGTTAAAGGACTAGCTGCTCAGTAAACCCCCGAATCACAGTGGCTTCATACACTGAAAGTGAATTTCTCGGTGACACAGACTCCAGTGGGCACTGGGGGCTGGGGACATGGGCCGTATTCCCTGTGGGCTCTAACTTGTGGCTTCCAAGGACAGCAGAATCCAGCCTGTCCAGGTGGGGGGAGGTAGCATCACCCCGCCGGTATAAAGGGTCGCGCCTGGAGTGTAGACAGTTCTTTTTGCACACATTCCCGTTGATCAGAACTCTTACATAGCTCACTAGCTGCAAATGAGGCTGAGAAATTCAATCTCATCTTTAGTGGATGGGGCAGACAGGGGTGGGGGTGGGGTGGATAACCATTCCTCTGGCACCCAGGGTATGGAGGATTCATTTCCAGAAAATCATGTGTCATCATTGGCATGGACATGATGTCCGTCTACATATCCATCAGTCAGCCATCAGTGATCCCATCAGTCTGTCTGTCTACCTACCTGCCCATCCTTGTTTCCTCTGTTGGTCCATCTGTGTACCTATCCATCATCTAACTACTGCTGTCATCTGTCACCCTGTTTAACAGCACAGTAAGGACCCATGCAGTATCTTCCAAAGCAATGGCAAGACCTCTCGACAGGTGAATATATCTGTGTACATCCTGTATCCAGTCCTCATTGTTTTGCTAAGCATTTGTTCTGATGTTTCCTAGCCACATGCATCCCCCACATGTATGTATTTTGTTTGAGTTGGTTTGGATGTTATAAAAAGATCTTGAATTTTGATCTTTGGGCTTAGATTGTTCGTATAAATGTCAGATTGCTATGACTCATCCGCATTCTTCGCTCCGTTCATGGTGTGACTCCGTCTCAAGTTTCTCACTCTCCTGCGGATGCCTGTTTGGGCTGATTGCAGGTTTTGTTGTTTGAACAGTGCTGCTGTGTGCGCGCGTGCACCTTTACATGCGTCTGATTGTGCACGAGTGTCTTTTTCTTGTCTGCAAGCTCAGAGTGCAGTAGGAGGGCTGTTCAGCCGGATGAAATAATGCTTTGTGTTCAACTTACTCTCCTGGCAAAACACACAGACGACCCTGCACCCTCATCTTCCCCAGCACTTGAACTGCATGCTCATACAACAGACTTGACCTGCTTCGCATCCCAGGGCAGCAAGATTCGCTATTATTTTCCTTCATTCTCGCTGCTTCCTAAACTGGGAGGTGTCGCAGAACCTCAGCCCCACCGCTCACATCAGAAAGGAGGTTCTCAGAGGAGGATTTCATGGAGAGGGAAGCCTTCCATTCAGGTATTTGTCAGGCAGTAGATAGGAAGCGAGCCCCTTCCCCTGTCTCTGTCTGTGCCTTTCCATTCTGGCTACCGGGGACCCTTCTACAAGTTTTCCATGAGCTGCAGAGGCATTGGAGCTGCACCTGCATGCTGCCTGCCTGCCTGCCCCCCCTGTGACAGCCGGGAGTGTGGATTCCAGCAAGAGTAGTCGTTTTCTCCTGCGCCTGCCTCTGTAGCTGGATACAGGTGCAGCACCAGCGCCTCCCCAAGCCCGCATTTAAATCTGTCCTCAATCTGTCTGGTTCCGTCTGGGGGGCAGCCTTGTGAAGATACATCGGGTAAACAAGCGAGGGCAATGACATGCTTGTGTTGTAAGCTTAAAGGCTTGCACTCGCTGCTGGAGAGAAGGCTCGTGTGGCCTCGTGGCTTGTTAGGAGGAGAGCTGCCTGTGTTGAACACGCACCTGCTTTTCTTAGGTAGCCAACGCGTTGTAAAGTGAGGACTCCACACTGGTGTTCCTGTTTGTGTGGTTGGGGGCGGGGAGGGTCAGCGCCTGCTCTTTAAACTGTGAGCGGCTTTTCCGCCTGGGTGCACCTCCTTTTATTGTGATGGCCTGGGCGATAGAAAATGCAAGGGATGTGCTTTACTCCTCTGTACATTTTCTTCCCCGCCTGGCCTCTGCTTGGTGGGTCTGTGGGGCCTTTTGTCTCTCTCTGCCTCCGGGGGCTTCCCCTGTCTGTTTCCACCCTGGCGTGAATCGGTAAACTAATGGGACATCCGAGCTCGCCACGCCCACTCTGTCCCTGCGTGTGAAAGTGCAGAAAGGAGAACACGCTGCAGATCTCTCTCCTGTGGTTGGCCAGGAGGGAGCAGGAGCTTCCCCAGCAGTGTCTTGCAGAAGCGGAAACGCTCTCTCCTGCCCCTCCCCAACAGCGGCTCCATCATGCTGCCCGGAGCCATCAGCCCGGTGCCTGCCACCTTGGGCTTGCCCCAGAGCAGCTGTGGCAAGGGTCCTGGGGAAGCCAGGAGCAGTCTTCCGGAATCTCTGCCAGCCCAGCCTGCCTCTGTGACTCCTGTCCTGTTAGGTGGGAGGCAGGCGTCCAGCAGAGATGGCGGGGGTGGGGGAGACCCGTGGGGCGGGCGGAGAGTCTAGAGTGACACGTGGGAGTGCCAGAGCCAGCGTCTCCAGATGGTGTGATGTTTTATTTATGGGTGGAAGGAGATGGCGAGCCTGCAGGCGTTGGCTGCATCCTGGTCCGTGGGCCTCCTGCGTGAGACCAGAATCTTCTGTCGCACACCCAGGAGCTGCTCAGTTAAGTCCCCTTTGTGAACAAAGGGAGTGAGGCTGCACAGTGCCCTGAGCGTTGGGTGAATGACCTAGAAAATTAGAGAAAGCCTTGGGCTGAGCTGGTCAACAAGTCCTCCACTCACGCCCTCTGGAATCTACCATTCAGACCTGTGCAGTCGGAAAGAAGAGGGCCTGAGAGGCAACCGGCTCCTGCAGTGCCCACAGACACGGCCCCGAGCACAAGCCTACAAGGCATCTGGCACCCTCCTTGCTTGGTGTCCCCAGGCCTGCCCGAGACTGACAGCTATGGTTCCGTGGCTCAGGGCTGAGCGTTGAGGCGTGTGTGCCCAGCAGCACCAGATGCCTCTGAGTCAGGAGTCACAGAGCCTGGTTTTGCAAGCGAAGAAAACTGTGCCATTAAAAGGTGATTATTCAAGTGGTGTGAGTCAACCAGGCAGCTCCTGGTGGTGCCAAGCAAGGGAGGGAAGGGAGAGGTGTGCATCTCCCTCTTCTGTCTCTCTCTCTCTCTCTCTCTCTCTCTCTCTCTCTCTCTCTCTCTGTAACATCAGGGATGAGAAAGGCAGCGTCAGACCTGGAGAAAGGTGCTCATCCTGAGAAACAGGAAGCAGAAGAGCTCTTCAAGCCCGTCATGGTCATGCATTTGACCTTCACCTCCTCCAAGCCCCTGCACAGGGCGCTTCCCCATCTGCCGATCCAGGAGCCGTGCGCCCGCTGGACAGGAAGTGTGTGCCGCCCCGTGTCCCTGCGTGAGCCGCTCGCAGTCCTCCTTCTGCGGCGTGATTTGGGGGCAGCACTAGCTCTTGTGTCTGGCATACTTTCTGGCTTCAGTGTTTTCCCGGGCTGCTGGGTCTGCTGCCACGGCAACCAGCCTTGCATCACCCACCTTCCCTGGGAGGCGGGGGTGACAGGGACACGGGCGGCCTCTGCTCGCCGCCTGTCCTTGGAAGGCTGGGGGCCTGAGCGGGGAAGAGGGTGGGTGATGTGGAGACGGACGCTAAAGCCACCTGTTTGCCTCCTGTATCCTCCTCCTCTGGTTGCTAGGGAAGTGAGAGAGGAGGAACAGGGGCCTGAGAGGGGCCGGGAGCGAGAAGCCAGGCACAGGCAGCAGGAGCGGGTTCCAGGGTCAGAGCATAAACGCTCAGAGGTTAACGATGGAGCTGCCCAGTCTGTATTTCCCGCTGATTCCCTCACCCGCCCCTTGCTTTCTGAGCAGTTTTTTAAAAGCCCTTCCAATACTAATAAAACAAAGCAGGAAGCCTCCTGATGACTTCTTCTTTGGATATTAACAATTTAAAAATATAGCTGAGTTGAGATAGCGGTAGAATAACTTATGCCTGTCTTACTTTCGTAACAAGGAGATGGTTCATGTTAATTGTGGTGTTTAAAAATTATTTATTTGAAAGGCAGAGCAACAGAGAGAGAGAGAGAGAGGGAGATAGGGAGACACAGAGAGAGAGAGAGAGAGAGAAAAGCAGAGAGAGAGAGAGATCTTCCATCTGATGGTTCATTCTCCAAATGGTGGCAACAGCCAGGGCTAGGCCAGGCTGAAGCCAGAACTCGATTCTGGAGTTCCATGTGGGTCTCCATATGAGGGGCAGGGACCCCAGCACTTGGGCCATCTTCCACTGCTTTTCCCAGGTGCATTAGCAGAGAACTGGATCAGAAGCAGAGCAGCCAGGACTCAAACCTGTATTATGATATGGGATGCAGACGTGGAAGGCAGTGCCTTAACCCACTGTGCCACAATGCCAGCCTCAAATGACCTTTTAGTTTGTTAAAAGTGAAGGAAGTGAAAGTCCAGTCTCGGGTATTAAAAATACCATCTTAAGTGTTAAAGTGATCATATTAAGTGTTAAAGTGGACATATAGATAGGATTTTGTGTTAAGGGATCATATAAATAAGATCAACTGTCTGGTAATAACAATAGATAGAATTAAGGAGAGAATCTTCCAACATGGGAAGCAGTCCACACAGCAGACTCACAGAATGACAGCTGCTTTAAGTAGCACTCTGACCTCAGAATCAGCCCTTCAGGCATCTTGGTCTGGCTGAAAAGCCCATGAGAGCATTTTAGGCATGGAAAGCCAAGACACTGTGGCAAAAATGTCCTACATGAAGGATCTCTGTGAGTGACACCCCAGCAGAAAGAAGGGGCCATCAAAGGAGGCACTTTTCTCTGAAGGGAGTAGAGAACTTCCACTTTGCTTATGGCCTCGTCTAAATACTGATGGAGTTTGTGGATTGAAAAGGTTTCCATAGCCTAGGCAGCGCATGTCAAGAGCCTCGGGTGATCACTGACATCATACATAAGAGTGTTAATTGTTAAATTAACAATATGAGTCATTGTGCACTAAAACTTCTCAGTTTTGTGTGTGTATGCAAATTGTGGAAATCTTTACTTAGTATAGAGTTGGTCTTCTGTGTATAAAGTTAATTGAAAATGAATCTTAATGGAGAATGAGACTGGGGATGGGAGAGGGAGGAGGAATAGGGGGCGGGTGGGCAAGTATGGGGGGAAGAATCACTGTATTCTTAAGGTTGTACTTATGAAACTTGTACTCATTAAATAAAAGATTTCTTTGTGGGGGGAGTAAGTCCAGTCTCTCTGTACTTGGTATTGGGGGGTGGGTGAGTGCTGCCGAGGGCAGCTGGGATGGGGAGCTACACTGTTGGCTGGTGGTGAGGGCAGGTATGTGGCATGCAGTAGACACTCCAGGACTAGGTGCAGAGGAGCCAAGCAGATGGAGCAGAGGGGCTGGCATATTGAGGGCAGCAGTGGGTGTGGCCTAGGGCAGGTGGCAGAGGCGCAGAGCCTCTGTGGCTGTGCAGAGACAGAGGGGGAACCAGCCTGGCCAGGGAGGTCTTAGGCAAACACAGAGAGGAGAGTGTGGGATCTTAGATCGGAAACTGCTTCCCCGGTGCCATCAGGACAGCGGGCTTTTCAGGCTTGCATTCTGTTCAGGATGCCTACCCCAGCTCCCACTGTAAGCACTCTTTATGGCACTCCATACTGTAGCAGTAGGGGAACAGACAAGACAACCATGGCC